CAGTTCCGACAGAGCATTGGTGAGTCATTGTTCCCAACTCCTGTCAGGACCCAGGGGCGCCCGCGAGGGCTGCCAGGGTACCCAAAGCATCCGGCAGATGCTTGGGAGTCGTCGACGTATATGACGACTCCGAGGGATGTTTTGATGGTGCCGCGCCCAGAAGAGGCGCCGGCCAAGTGGGTAACTTAGGTCCACAGGCGGGTAACTTAGTTCCCGCAGACAGCTGCAGCTGTCATGAACACTGAGAACAGCGTGTTCAGAGTGGGTAACAGAGTTCCACTCACGGTCGCCCAGACCATAACTGAAGAGGAAGACGTCGGATACGCTTCCTGTGTGGGTAACACAGTGCCACACACGGTCGCCCCAGACCATAACTGAAGAGGAAGACGTCGGATACGCTTCCTGTGTGGGTAACACAGTGCCACACGCGGTCGCCCAGACCTTAACTGAAGAGGAAGGCGTGGAACACGCTTCCTGTGTGGGTACAACAGTACCACACGAGGCCACGAGTGCCTCGGATGTCGTAGCGACGACATCCCTAGACGTGGGCAGCAAAGCTCCCCGTCACAGAAGCCGTCGGCAAAGACGCCGCCGCCGCCTCAAGTCGGATCCGAACTTCGTTCCGATCGACGTCGCTTCAAGCGACTCGGAGTCCAGGGCCCGGGCTCCTCCGACAAGGCCGGTGGAAGAGTGTTATCACATCTTCGATAGCGAGACGGGTTTACCCGTCAAGGCATCTGGTGTCCACTTGGAACCGTTGCCAGAGGTTGCAGAGATACTGAACCTCGAGGAAATGACGGCTGAGTCTTTCCTGGCCAACCTCAAGGCTGGAGAGATCGCTGAGATGGTACTCATGAGACCTGAGACCACTCAGGAGGAGCTGAACTCCTCCTCTGTCTTGGACGAGAACGTCCTGGAAGACATGAACAAGCAGCGTCAGGCGCGCTTGGGTTCTGAGATTCTCAAGAACCCCAAGGATCCGGTGTATCCTTTGGTGACGGAGTATGCGGACGTGGTGAATAAACACCCACCGACCCAACTCCCACCGGATCGAGGCGTACGGCACGAGATTGATCTCGTGCCCGGCACAAAGTATTGTGTCACGAGGCAATGGCCTCTCCCGCGCGAACAGTGCGAGGTCATTGATGCCTTCTTCGCCGCGAAAGCGAAGGCAGGCATGGTGCGGGAGTCGAAATCCCCGCACTCGACGCCGACTTTCTGCGTTCGTAAGCCGAACGGAAAGTGGCGTCTGGTTCACGCTTATAACAAGCTGAACAACGCAACGGTGCCGGCCCAAACACCGATCCCACGAAAGGATGTGTTGTTGAACAACATGGCCGGGAGCGTACTGTACAGTGCGCTGGATTTGGTAGACGGATACTACCAAATCCTGATGCGAGAGAGTGACATCCCGCTCACCGCGGTAAGCACTCCAAGCGGCATGCTTTGGGAGTGGCTCGTCATGCCGCAGGGCTTGTCTAACGCCCCGGCGACGTTCAATCGCCTGGTGACGCAATTGTTCCGCCCTTTGCGTACCTTCGTACAGACGTACTTCGACGACATTTTCGTCCATAGCCGTGCCGAGGGAGGCAAGACGGCCATGGAGGTGCATCTAGGACACCTCCGTCGAGTGTTGGACGTGATGCGAGCGAACAAGCTCTACGCCAACATCGACAAGTGCGTTTTCGCGTCACCAGAGATCAAAGTTCTCGGTTGCTTCGTAAGCAACGTGGGCGTTCGGGCTGACCCAGACAAGGTCAAGGCCATAGCAGCATGGCCGACGCCCCGATCCCAGAAGGATCTTCGAAAGTGGTTGGGTTTGGCCAACTACCTTCACAAGTACAGCGCTGGGTACGCGGGCTTCGCTAAGCCCTTGTCGAGCCTCCTTCAGAAGGACGTCGACTGGCGCTGGGAGCAAGAGCACCAGGATGCTTTTGACAGCATCAAGGCCAGTCTCCAAGAGGCCCCTGTCCTGGCTCTGCCGGACGAGACGAAGCCGTTTAGCGTCGTCTGCGATGCCTCCGATTACGCCATCGGGTGTGCATTGCTGCAGGACGACACGGCTGGACAGGAACG